GTATACATGTACTTCTTCTATTATACTTGGTGGGGGGGGGGGCAGGAGAATAGAAGACAGATTATCTGTTATTAAAAATCTACAAAATAGATTTGAACATATATAAATCACAAGAGTGATTTATGAAAATGTATTACTTAGTAGTTAACTGCATCAGAATCTCAGACACCAAGAAGTATAAAAAAATAAAATTCTGTACGGAATATACATCAAATAAGAGGTTTTTGAAAACCAAGCGTGTTTTAGAATGACGGTTTTCCTGGTAGTGATAAATTCCGTGACTTTGCCACTGCCTTTGAAATAAACAGAATAATAAATTTTCAAGTTCTCATTTATATCTCTAGTTCAAATGCAATGCAAACAGAAATGATGTTTATACACATTCTAATGGAGTGCATGAATAATGAATGATGAGGCTATATTTTATCAGACGGTAATAAAAGCTGAAAATAATGCACCCGGAGGAATTTTGATGAGTTAATAACAAACATATAAATTTACCCTCACACATTCACAGGATAAGAAATGATCTCATTTATTCTAGTGTTATTGTGAAGTTTTCATTCATGTCTTGTTAGAAAGTCATCTTTAGTTGATCTCATTTCTTCTTATGATCTGAAGCTATTCCAATATCCTAACGATTCACTTGAACTTTCTTTAGACTTCAAAAAATATTTGATCATAGTTCTAGTTTAAAAGATTTGTCTGTACTTGGGAGATGGCTCCATGAATAAAGCATTTATCATGCAAGCATGAGAACCAGAATTCAGATCTTTAGGAGGCAGAGCAGAGGACCACTGGGGCAAGGGGCTAGGTGAGCTAGCTGGAATAAGGTAGAGGGAGATTAAAAAGGATGTCCAGGTCAACTTTAGGACCTCTACTTACATAGGCACAAGCATGTACGTGCACCTGCAAAGACATGTACACATTCTACCTGCAGAAAGAAAGAGAAAGAGGAGGGAAGGAATGAGGAGGGATGGAGGCAGAGAGGGAGGGAGGGAGAGAGAGAGACTGGAGGGCAGGAAGGGAGGGAGGTAAGGAGGGACTGATGGAGGGAGGAAGGAAGGAAAGAATGAAGGAAGGGAGGGTCTTTGGTTAGGGAACAGGAGATTTAAGAGCATAGCAAAGGGGGCTCTGAGTGAAAATAACTTAAACTGAAATCCTAATGAAGAGAAACAGCAAACCGGTTGAATAGTGACTAAGAGAATAGCATTCTAGAGTATCGTATCTCCAAAGTCAAAAGAAACTCTCATTGTCCTACCCATTACAGCATGGCCATAAGACTTGCCTCTCTGCTACCTGCCTCCACAGTGTACCTGGATGCCCACTCTTGCCAGACCCCTGGTCATCTTCAGTGTTCCACTCTCATATTTCTTGGGAATCCCTCAACAACACCACAGTTCCTTTAGTTTCATATGGCCTGTGCAGAGAAGAGATTTTCTGCTCTTTTTCCTCAGGACCACCCACTTAAGAGCCTCTGGTGCCCAGGAAATCACCAGAGTTGTTAAGAGTGGTGATGGCATCCTGTGGCTGTATAGCTTCCAGGGCTGGTTGTGGTGCTCCCGACATCTGCACCAATGATGCTGCTGAGGCCCCAGACCTATGGCACATCAGTGGCTAAAGCTACATCCTTGGGCACCAATGGGAGGTGATTATTCTTCTCCTGCTTCCCCTGTGACATCAGCGTGTATTGCTTTGTATATGCACAAAATAGCAAAATAGCATGGCAGTTTAAACTGTATAGGGCATGTGTGCACACACACACTTTAGTTTCATTTCATAGAGTTCTGCCACAAGTTTTGACCTGCTTCCTCATCTTTTCCTATTTCCTTCTAGGCGCTTATCCTTCATGTAAACACACACACACACACACACACACACACACACACACACACGCACACGCACACGCACACGCACACGCACACGCACAC